GAGGTACCAAGCACCTCCGCCCACGGATATGCCTGCCAGCACAAAAAGGAGCAGCAATTTGCCGCTTCTTCTTGCACTGCCAAAAGGCCAGATTGGGGCTGCTGTGTGTGGTTGCCACGGCACACGACTTCACGGCAGCCCCAATCTACCATTTTTGGGCGGTCTGTTCCACCCCAAGTCTACTTCATGGAGTGAAAAACACGGAGATTCATGGAGTGAAAAACAGACCATTACAGCTGGAAATGAACAGGCTGTATTTATGAATAGCAATGCAAAACTTGTTGGTATAGTGATGAGATGACACATTCAATTTTAACTATGGCTGTTGGGGGACAAGGCAGGAGAGAAGATAGTGCCTTAAGACAAGTTGAGTAGCTAAGCATATGAATGGTGTAGAAGATTGCAATGTATTATGATGCTGGCTGGGAGTTATTGGAGTGTACTATGATGCTGGCTGGAAACCCGAAAGGAAATGTGATCGCATGTGTAATGTGCCATGAAACCATGGACTCTGTTCAACCCACTGTCAGACTGAAATTTGTTGATATATTCCAATTCTGCTCTTTCTGTTTCTTTGTAGTTTGTTTTTGGTGGTATTGTTGTTGTTTAAGCTGTTCTGACAACTGAGATAGAGTGTCCAGGAAATCTGAAGTATTTTACGACCTTGACACAAACCCAGATTCTGTCCACATGTCTAGTCAGGAAATGTCATCACAGGACCTAGTCACATCATCTACAATAATAGACGCATTTTTACTTACCATCTTCTAATGAGATATATGCTATCCTCTGCCCACAATGCCCTTCAGTACTCTACATTGGGCAAACAAGCCAGTCTCTGAACATAAATTAGACATTAGAAATTGAAATACACAAAAAACAGTTGCAGAACACTTCAGTCTTGGACATCAGAACAGCTGTACCTGAATAAAAAAATCTACAAAGGAAAACTGGAAATAGAAACAGAATAAGGACAAAGGAAATTTCTTCTTGTTATTTAAGCCATATCAAGGCACAAAAATCTTCCAAATACCTTCAAATAACTGTTGGAGACAATATCATGGGAATGGTATGCTTGTCCACATGTAGTGGTCCTATAAGACATCACTAAGTACGTGTTCTCTGTACTGAAAAAATACTATGTAAATATTACGTTAAAAAAACAAAACACATAAAAATATGAAGCATTACTAGAAGGTATGAACTGGCTGCA